GTAACCCAGACGCTGTTCTCCTCAGGCATTTACGGCTCTTTCAGGAGGATATTTGGATATCTCAGGACCAGATGGGTGAATGCATCTCATTCGTAAATTAACCCAAACTCACGAATGAGACTTTAATATACTTTGAAGAGGAACTCACTTTCCTGTTCTGCAGAAGTTCATGCCGGAGATTATTAAGTGATGCACTGAACAAAAGTACATCTTCTGATCAGTTACAGACACACAAATACACACAAACACAAAGAGACAGTCGTAAAAAAATGAACCTAAAACAGATGCTCCCTTTCAGATAAAACCTGTTGTTCCTAAATCCCGATCTGATCTGGAACTGGTGTATTACTGATATTCACGTCCGATTCATAAGAAGTTACTTTATTTATAGTTTAACCTGATACATCATCATCTTATACACCTCAAAATCCTGAACCGAGACCGTTTAAATATTTAAAATACACCATAAATGTCACCATCACATTTCTTGTTATTTATATAGCTCCACGATCTACATATCTTAAGACAAACCAAATAATCTGATGTGAAAACACACTTCCCGCCCTGCTTTACTACTTTAAAGCCTCCCTCCACGAACGCGACGTTTTTCTTTTAGCACCATAATCCCGTACAAGGCGAGCGCTGATCGGCCAATTGATCTTCTGATTACTTCATTATAATGAAGCCAATAATCACATCATCGCCGGCCTCCGGGAAATCGATCGCCTCTTCACAATGTGCGGACATGAAATCAAAGGGGGAAGCTTTGATGTATATTTCAGCAGGTGGATCCCTCTCCCTCTCGCTTATATAGATTTAAGCGGCTCTGGCCTACGCAAGGTCACTCGCACTACTCAACTAATGCTTTTTTTTTCTAGAGGTGGATAATCAAAGCCTGCACAACCACGGGTCTTAAATTAGTAATTATTTGGGGCTCGCAAAGGCTGCGTGCGTGTGTGCGTAAAATGTCAGTTGAGTTGAATCTAAATTGCATGTTTTTCCTATTAAGGGTTGGCCAGAAATGTTTTATAGTTGCAGCTTTCCTGAGTGTGTGTGAGTGTGTGTGTCCGAAGAAAGGTGCCTCCCGGCCATCACCTCTTAATCCCAAAGATTAAAAAATTATTAAAAGCAAATCAGTCCTTAATTAAATTATTCTGATTTTTTTAATATATGGATTTCAATTTCAGTCTCTTGAAAACGCCACCATTTCCCCTCTCACATCATCACCTGTGTTGGCAAACTTTCTCCCTCAGCCAACTTAACTGTACTCCTGTTTTCCCAATGTGGCCTCCTGTCAGGGATCAATACAATCTGATCGATAGATGACCATGAATATTCCCCACAAACCTGGCCAAGTTAGACCGAAGGAGAGGAGCAGAGAGGAGACAGATGGGATGGAGGCTGAGATGGATGGATTGCCATGGATGAAAGAGGAAAAGATAAGGAGAGAGTGTGGCGCCTCAGAGAGACTGTGATGGATGCTAATGGCCCATATATTCATGCATCCAATTTGGGGTGTTACACAAAACAGAGCGTGCCCGCTCCGACCGGTTTTAAAGGGTTAATGGCTGGAACTCAAAGATGTGACGTGGTTTATGACCACACTGATGAGATGTCAGAGTTCATCCTCATTACTGCCCCATGCACAAGTTCCCCAAACTAACACAGGCGGCGAGAAATCTGAGCTACTACAACAATCGCGTTCAGAGCTCACATCTATACTATGTTATCTATTTTTAATTAATTCACAACACTGGATCCTGAAAACAACTCAGGAAGAATGAAAATACACAACAGAGCATTCCTGGCAAAATAACTCTGAATGCGAAGTAATTCTACGGGTCAACAATATGATAGGAGTTTCTAAAAGGCTTAACGTAATAAAAGGCTTTCATTACTAAAAGCACACGAGCTGTAAAGCCAGTGGTTTTCTGTATACTTCACGAGTTATAGGATCCACTCACTGTAATAATGTTTGCATTCATGCAGCCGCAGTGTGAATAGGCTGGGATAGAGGCAGATTTCAGGGTGATGCATTTCCAAACAATATCTGAATTGATAGCAGGAGATTCCAGGGACTTAAAGGCACTAAACTTTAATATTTGCATGCATTTGAATGAAGCGGATA